AAAAATGAGAATAAATATTTTGAAAAGATGAGCAAACTTTCGCCCTTGAGGCCATACAAAATAAGCAAAAGCACTGTGTCTACACCCCACTAGTCCATATTATTTACACAAATTTCAAAAATATCAATTGGACCCACCATACTGCTTCTGTGATTCTTTAACTGGGATTTTGTCGGAAAAGTGATTTTTCATTCTCAGAGGTCGAAATTTCGTGTCAAAAAATATTTTTTCGAGTTATCGAGCGAATTGGGGTACTAATGAACCAATCTCGACTCAAAAATAGTCACTAGTCATTTAAGGATGGCTCAGGTCCTATTCATGAAGCCAAAATAGTAAATTAGTGATTAAAGTTCAAAATTCTTGACTCCATTTCGGAGCAAGATTAAAATTCATCATCGCCGAACCTCAACCTTCTGGAATATGATATGTGGTCCAAACTGGAGCTAGATACATGTGCTAAACCTCACACAAGTTTGGAGTACGAGAAAAAATCTATCCTCTACAAATGGCACCAAGATCCCTTTGAACGCATGCGTACCGCGATCGTGAAGTTGACACCAAATCTCCTGGCCCGTGTCGCCTAATGAGGCTGAAATTATGAAAGGTGAACAATATTTCCTATAAAGAATTTCATGGGCTTTTCAGTGATGTGCTTATTTTTTCAAAATTCGACAAACTGTGGTTGCTACAATAAGTTGTTCCTGTAACAGTTCTTTTGCGAGTACTGGGTATTTGGAAACAATGGGTACAACCTTGGCCAGCACTTATTTGGAAATTATGATACAAATTTCAAAATTAGTTTGGGCGCACTCACGTGAGCGAATTATCAATCAGTCAAGAAATAGATTTGTTACGCCTAACAAGTTTGCTAATTGATTGCGATGATAAATAAGACATTGTCATGAGTACGCTCTTTGTGTGTCAAACAGGAATCTTTCATTTATGTAATATCCACTTTCTAGCCCGTTTCATTAGTCTGAGAAGTTGAAATTTTTAGCACATGCATATTGGACAAAGACATGGCAAACAAGTTCAAAGATAGGCTACATCGGTCACCAAGTTGACCTTTGGTTGGGGGTCGTATTGGAGCAAAGTGTAACCATAGTGAACCGAACCTTAGAGAATGCGACCCGTACCAAATTTTACAATATATTACTTTCATTTGAAATTTGGTACGGAGGTTAAAAATGAAGTCTGCACTGTAGAAATTTATGTAGCTTGTAATTTTTAGAACTTACAAAATTGTTGCAAATTCTAAAAGAAGTAGACAATTGCCCTTATTTTTAATATTTAAAAATTACCCGCTACCTGGGTACCCGGCAAAAAGTTTAGGCCGAGTACCGGGTAGCCGGGTACCGGGTAGTGCCACTACCCGGGGCAACCATAATATTTATATTGCCAGCCCTTGCAAACATTTATGTAAATAGTCACATATTGAATTATTAATTAACGAATTGCCACGTTGCTGTCAATTCAAGGTGGCACGTACTCAAAAACAAGTTATACATATTTTAAAATCCTTCACGCGAAGCATGCATTTATGTTAGAAATACATAAGCAGTCTAGCATGCACTGTAAAAAATAATGTCGGCCTTTTGATACATAAATGTGTTCTTAGTTCTGTATTATTTAAGTGAAGTATACTAAAGCCAGAGTAATGTAAATCTTATCTAATTTACTCTTTAAATTGATCATAAAAATCTTTCCGTGATCAATTTTGTCTGATCAATTCATTTTTTAAAATTTTCACTGGTAATTTATTCATTTTGTTTTTGGATTTAAAAAAACGCTCGATTCGGGCTGTAGATAAAAAAATTAACAATCTTTATGTGCTTGTAGCATCTCAATGTCTTTTTCCATCATCGAAAAATCCATTTTGCAACTTTCTCCCCCCCCCTTGGATGTTCGTCACACCTAAAATTTTTCGGGATTTTCGATAGTTCCCGGAAATACATCAGTTTGAAGAATGCTGACGTGTGAGACTTGCGTTGACTACAAAAGTTTGTAGCTCATAGTTCAAAAAGTTTTGCACTTACATAATTCTGGCCAGGATGTACGTTTTTGAAATAACAATTCCTTTCCCCGTAGTCATCCTAATTTCCTATATCCACCTTATAAATACATTATCCCTTAATACCCTTATCTCAAAGGTATCAACCTTGCACGAAATAAATTTTAGATTGTCACTCCGCCCTACATTTCCTCATCATTTAGTATTAAATTCCAACTTGGATTTTCAAGTTATCAAGGAATACCCCATCACGGTATTCTACAGCCTCGAAAAATATGCTAACTCGCAAGATGACGAAGATACTGCTCCCGTTGAGAAGGAAGCTTATTACCTCCATCCCCAACCGAAACGATATGGCTCCCAAAAAATCAAAATTTTTATAACGATTGCTAAAAATATGAATGATTTGTCATTCAAAATTGTACAATCTGGACACGGATTACGAAACAATTACAATGTTCTATTTTACAATTTGGGAAGTTATGAAGAAATGATGGGTGAAACAGGCGATGTTACACGATTGGGGTTCACGTGTCCCTTGATCCTCATAACGATCAAAAGCCTGAAAATTACCTCGGTCCATCAACTCTGTTATCTCTGTCCATCAAAAGATCGTCTAGTCACACTTTTTAGTGTAAACGTGCTTCTAGATCCTCCAAAAATTGGGGAAATGCACGCAAGATTATCATCGAATGGGTACGGGGCTAAAATCGCTTTCATGAAGAGTAGAGACTATTTCGCGACGGAAGAAAGAATCAGAAAAAATCCAAAATTAGCAAACTGTCAAAAGTATTTTGATTCAGAACCAGATTGCCAAACTGGTTATCCGCTCTATGAAATTATGAAGGAACGGTTGAATGTATCGATTGAAGGTAAATACAAAGAGCTCTTTTTACTACTAAAAGCTATGAATTTGTATTTTCATAATTTTGCTTAAGTATTACATACATAGGTTTTCTTTCGAGTTAAACTAGGGAGAGCGGAGTAACCAAAGTGTAGAATAATTTTCATTCAAAATTTAGTCATCCTATTTTCTGAATGAAAATTTTCACTCATTTTTTCATAGCCGTTGAAGTTCACTAAATTAAGTAAGGATTGATGAAGTTTTAAATTTGTAATAACAGCTTGGTCTACCTGTCTACCACTGGAGTATGAGGAAGATTACGTATGGACTCCCCTTTACATGTGCGAGCGGCCCGTTACAATGACCCAACCACAAAATACGTCAGAATACCTTCATCCCGTTATGTTATCCTTCTTCCAGCGGGAACTGTACCTAATTTACTGTATCAACAAGGCTGAATACAACCCGCCTTCCTGGACATGGGTCGCCACACCCTTCGATTACCCGACTTGGCTCAGCCTTCTCGCCAGCTTCGCCCTTTTCGCCTTAATTAACCGCCGACTCTCTCTGATGTTCGACGCCATCAACTTTTTTATTTACATTGGTCTCCCGAATTTTAAAAATTGGAAGAATCCCGCCTTATTCCTCGCGCTTGCGATGACCTCGTTTCTAAGCTATCACTACGAAGCCTTCATGACTACAAGTATCACAGCTCCGTTGGAACTTCACGTATTTCTCGATATAAAAGAAGGACTCGACAACGGGTTTCGACTAATTATAGCCGATCCTGGCGTCATAAACCTATTAAACCATGGAATTGGGTTAGAATTCAAGGAACAAGTAGGAAGAAATTTTTCCGAGAGCGATACAGTTTTGAACATTGAAATTGAGCAACTCAATCAGCCATTTAATGTAACCTGGCGCGACAAAATGGCCGCCATTAAGGGGGTTATTTACATCTTTGACGTGTTGGCGTACAAGATGAAGAAAGACAAGATTGTGAGTCAAGGTGACAACGTGCTCTGTTTCATAATTAGGAAACCTATTGGTCCGATTACTTTCATGGTGAATGCCTATTCAAGTATGACGGCTTCCTGGTTTGTGCAAAACGCGGTGCTATGGAACGGTCCTTGCGGTCTTTATGGAATGTTTCAGGACAGATATTTCACCAAGATTGCGCGACGATTGGGGAAGGATAAGTCAAAAATGCGAAAAGAAAAATTTGGTGAGGAAGAGGAGATGGAGGCAGAGCTTAGGTTGGGACTCTATTCAAATTTTGGGATTTTGTTCTTGTACTTGATATCCTTCTTGGGGATGAGTTTGGCCATATTTTATATTGAATTTAAATGTAATTCAATTTCGATGAGATTTTCTAGATTCGTGAATGAAGTAATGGTTGATAGTTTTAAATCCGAGATGAATTATGTGAAGGGAATAATGTTTAAAATTGGGGAAAGAATTAGGAATTCGGTTAATTATTTAGCGACATTCTTTTCCAAACTGTATTGGCTGTCTTTTAAAGTTTCCAGATATTTTACGCGAAATTTCTCACGCCAAGCACATTTCGTAAGGTAGTACATATGAAAAGCTTTGTGGTTTGCCACTTTTTGTCAGTTGCCAGGCCAGAAGTTAAGGAAAGCATTAACTTGAGTAACGAATTAACGATAAGTCGATTGGACTGTTTTTGGTGGTGAAATAAATCTCAATAAATACCAGCGTCAAAATGCAACACATTTATTATTCAAATTAATTAAGTTGGCATTGCTTTCCACACTTTTAAGTAATAAAAATGAAAATTATTTAGCTTTATTTATTTGTTTAAAAATTAAGTTTAACACAGAAATAGATACATATATTTACATATATTATTTATCTGGTATTTATGGATTCTTACACCGAATTCAAGTAATCAGTGATATTGGACAAATGATTATCAAATCAGACAAATGATATGCAATTTGCATAATGCAAATCACTCTGTACCTATACATACATACATTCAGCTGTTTGCGATATCAAACATATCATACATACAAACCATGACTGCACAGATAAATAAATACCAAGTTCAACATACGTGTGCATCAACCGTATGATGCATACATACGACTGGAAATTACGTTTTCGCACATCGTTTATTCCCATTTAGGTGATGCCACGTAAACTAATGTGGTCTCCATTCGTGTAAGTGTGTACATACATTTTGTGTTCTTGACGGCATGAGTAATAAATATAGTTTTCTAGTCTAAATTGAATCCAGTATCCTTAGAAAGTGTGCACTAGTAATTGTCTAATTGAAATACTTACGAGGTGATATTTTCCCAAAAAATAAATATGGATAAGCCAAAGTCTATCCGATGTAAGACAGCCGACGCGTTGGAAATTGATTTGGTGAGTTTTTTTACTTGCATAAATAATTTGAAATTTGTTTAAATTTACTCTATGTACCGGTGACTGGAAATGGATGTTATTTTTGTGTCTTCATTTATTCAACAGATATTGGAAAATATTTTCAAGTACTTAAAACTTAATGATGTCGTAATTTGTCGGACAATTAATCGAAACTGGTGCTACGTCGCGACGCCATTTTTTAAAAGGATGATTTCCCACTTTGAGCTTGATTTGTGTAAGTAAAATATGAAATATTTCGGAAATAACCAATTTGAATAGGGATAGTCCATTTATTGGTTGTAGGTCGAATTGCATAATTTATTAGGGATAATGCAATATGGTATAATTTTTTTTGGCATAAAACAAATTGGTATAATGGTACATAAGGGATAATTTAAAAAGGGATAATTATGCGAAAATCAAAATTAAATTTTAAATTAAATTTTAAATAGTCATGTAGTTGTGAAGGCATTTTCCAATACCCTTGAGATAGTCGAAAGCGTCAAGATCAGTGTTGCATGATTCTACAATCAAGAGGAGTCGCTTATCCAGGTCCCTGTGAATTTTATGCTGTGGCTCTACTTGCCAGATTTCAATTTTTCGATTTCCAAATTCCAATGGCTTGGTTCATTTTGTAAAATTTCAATGGCTTTCCACATAGTATTTATGCGTAAATGCCAACCCTCCACTGAATTGTTGATACAAGTGCGTGCAAATATAGTACTCTGTGTCATTCTTGCAGTTGATTTTTTGGTACAAGTAGCGTAGTAGTTTTCAGTGGACATGGTTGTGAATGTGAGTGTGGAGTGCAAGGAAAGAAAGAATGGAATGAATTTCGGTCCCTTTAAAGCTTAAAATATAATTATCCCGAATAGAATTATCCCTGAGTTTCATTATACCAAATGGTTCCCTTAAATTATACCAACAATATTATACCAAATCAAATTATACCAAATTGTCGTTATACCAAAAAAATTATGTAATTCGACCGCACACCCATTTATTACGACTTGCAAAGGGTTGGGTCTATCTTTCTTGTGTTAAGCTTGGCATGACTAGGATATTGAAGAAAGGGGTGATGTTCGTCTCAAAATCGAAATTTTTCGATGACGTAATACATGGACGTTCCCATAATTTGATAAATAATTTGATGCTTCCATTTTCTCAGCGTCATACGAAGTTCCCCCCGAACTTACTAAATATTGCGAGTACGTATCTACAAGTGGACCGAACTGTGTGAAATACTCGAATTTCAAATTTTACAAGCCGCCAAGCGGAGCCTTATTTTTGGAAAAATGTGGCGAGCACGTGACATCCTTAAGATTTCAGTATGTCTTTGTGGATTCTCTGGAATTCTTGACACAAATGTTAGCACACACCCCAAATCTGGACAAGTTGGAAATTGTCTGGTTATCACTGGACGATCGTTCTACAACTTTTCTCCAAGATAACGTCACCTGGGATAAGTTAATTTTGCAAGTTAGGACGATTTGCATCACGCACTTAGACGGGTATCCAGAAGTAGGACAACAATTTCTGTTAAGAATGTTTCGAGCGTGTCCGAACCTAAAAGAAGTCAGAACCGGGTCATATAATGCGTCATTTCTTCACCAACTTTTGTTAACAGAACGGTAATGAAGTTTCACACTTTTAGTTCAAGCAATCCTATAAAAATAGATTGATTATAGTATTGATATTTCATCAGAATTTTGGTAAATCCGGTAACAAGGTCATTATTATTACCGGTTGTTATATATGCCGCCGTTGTAAATTCCACTATGTCATCTTACGTACACTGAGGGGATAAATTGTCCGTCACGGTTTAACATAGCTATATCTCGTACAATTTCATAGATATCAATTTGAAATTTTGCATAGTTGTAGACAATCGCATTTGTGATGAAATTGGACTCATAGGTTGAAAAAATAATGCAAAGGTCAAAGGTTACGATTTTTTGACCTAAAACCTCAAAAGTCAGCTACATCAAGAAAATTTTTTTCTTGGTATTTTTATTTTTATAAAGTTAGGGCAAGTCATCCTGAGCATTTTGATATGTTGGTCACCTCTGTGCGATTTTTTTTGTGCCCACAGCGATTTTTTGAAAAGTGATGTTTTGAAAAGTTATAACATTGGGCTTACGGGAGAAAATTTCAAAACATCACTTTTCAAAAAATCGCTGTGGGCACAAAAAAAATCGCACAGAGGTGACCAACATATCAAAATGCTCAGGATGACTTGCCCTAACTTTATAAAAATAAAAATACCAAGAAAAAAATTTTCTTGATGTAGCTGACTTTTGAGGTTTTAGGTCAAAAAATCGTAACCTTTGACCTTTGCATTATTTTTTCAACCTATGAGTCCAATTTCATCACAAATGCGATTGTCTACAACTATGCAAAATTTCAAATTGATATCTATGAAATTGTACGAGATATAGCTATGTTAAACCGTGACGGACAATTTATCCCCTCAGTGTATGTTGTAAATAATCATAGTACAATTTACCTTATTTAACTGAATAGTTCGAAATCGGTAAAATTACAAACCAAGAATTAATTCATTTCCCGGTATTAAACTCTTAGCAATTGGTATTGAATCTTCACCGACCTGCATACTTATGTATTTATGACTTCACCCCTGTCAGTCTCAAATTCACCCGGAGGTCATAGTTTGCGGGAATTTGAGACTGACAGTGGCGTATCCTTTCTGCTTTGGCAATTACTAAATACAAAGGTTCAAAATATGTATGTAAGCAGCAATATTGATACCGAATTGGTTACAATCCTTGTCATAAAATTTTTATAGTTAGAAAAATTTCTTCCTGAATAATATTCTTACGAAAAATGGTAAATTACATATCCTAATTATTTTCATAGTGCTGGAAATTTGAGTCATTTAACCCTAGGACGAGTGGATGATCGAACTCTTGAAATTTTACACACAAACAAGAACCAATTTCACTTGAAGTTTCTCAAAATCGGGCAACTCCAACTTTCCGCTGGTGAAAGAAAGATGCTAGAATTTCTACAAGTCCAAGCAAATAGCCTAGAAAGCTTTATCGTTTGTGAACTTTCGAACGTTTTTCCCCACACAAATGGAATTGCGCTTCCTGAACGAATGCCAAAATTGAAACTGTTACGGATTGGTTTGAAACGTTGGGATTCTCCGGAAGGGGAAGTTTTAATGGTAAGACAGCATTTCATTGGACTAATTGTTAAATGTAAGCATAACTTTATCTGTTAAAAAGGGATGTATCAAATTTTGAATTGACGTCAACGTGGTATTCGCATTGCAACTAATTGGCAAAATTGCGAAACTTAAAAAATTGGGTTGTGAGGAAATTCGCAAATTTTTACTCACCAAATCAAGAAAACCTTGCAAATATTCTAGAAGCAGCCTCTTTCATGGATTTCTATATTTTCTCTTGTTTTCGATGGCGAGAATTAGTTTGCGAAATAATTAAAACATGTCAGATTGTAGGATAAATTTGCGAAGAAAAATTATGTACATAATTATGTTAATATTTTCAGGCACCTCTCAACATCCCAAGACAATTCCCGGCCTTGCAAAAACTTTTGATTTCTGGATATGGAAAGCATATCAATTTGTCGGCATTCTTATTAGACAATTGGGATCAGGCGGCGCTCTCCGTGTGGGGATTAGAACTTCCCGCGGGAGGATTGTCGCCCCCAGACATTAAAAAGTTAGGACACTTTCTCCCTAATTTAACCGAATTATCGGTCGGATATCAGTCTGGGCAAGTTTTACGGGAGATTTGGACTGCTTTCCCGGGCGTGGAGTCATACACGTTGTCGGTCGGATTGGACAAAACTTGTAACATTGACACGACCGGATTTCTAAAATTGGACGAAATATTGACCGGGTTTAGTAAAAAGGAGATGAAACGGGCCAAAAGGATGTGTGGAGACGTGGGGAAACCTCGGTTTGAAGGCATCACAAATTTGAAAAGTAATTAATTTTGTTACATCTATACGTTGGGTGCTAAAATCCAGAATTTTTGATGTATATGGATGTCCCAATTTCCCGGATTATAAGATTTTAGTCCGTCAAAATTTGAAACTAACGGCATTATTTATTTAGACTTGAGGGAATTCACTCTTAATAACGGTCCGTTTCGGAATCGAGTAGGAGGAAGGCGACTTAACAACGATCGTGTAACCGACATTGGAGCATTTTATGCCTTGCAAAAATTGGAGTCACTAAAATATCTGGTGATCAGGGGGCACAAGGTATAAATTTTCATGCATACATATTTAATAAATTACCTAAAATAATGTTACCCCTTTGAATACTAAATACACTTTTAATCCTAAATTACGTAAAATATTTGCACTAACCATTTGCATGCCCGACATGTTTCTCACGGATCTTTTTACGTTGGTGTTGCACTCACAATGCAAGTCTTTTACGTGTATAACTCAGATCTGGTTGGGACCAATTTTATTTTGTTCACCACAAAAAATAAGCATACCCGTATTTTTTCATTTTTCATAATGCGCTAATTTGAGCGCGAGGCGCGAATTTTAAAACATTTTTCAGCCAAAACCTCGGTTTTTAAAAATTCTGTAAATGTTCGAATTTTAACACGAATCGAAAAATTCGAAAACATGTCTCTTCAGAATGACTTACTTGACTTAGGAAAAATCCAATTGTCTCGAAATTTTAATTTCAAAATTTTTTGTCAGTTTTTGAAATACTTTAAAATTATAAACTCGTCTAAATTTTAAATTTTTCAAAAACTAATGTAGAAGAATTTTTGATAAGTCAAAGAAGTCGTTCTGAAGAGACGTGTTTTCGAATTTTTGGATTCGCGCCAAAATTCGAAAATTTACAGATTTTTAAAAACCGAGGTTTCGGCTGGAAAATGTTTTGAAATTCGCGCTGCGCACTCAAGTTAGCGCATTACGAAAAATGAAAAAATACGGGTATGCTTATTTTTTGTGGTGAACACAATAAAATTGGTCCCAACCAGATCTGAGTTGCACACGTAAAAGATTAGCATATTCCTGGATGCAACAAGGTTTTAAGTGACAAAAACTTCGTTTTCACCACGTTAAGTCAAGTGCATTTTCAACAACTTGAAACCTTGTTAGATCCGCGTTAATTCTGCAAAACTGCTCAAGTGCCACACCAACTTTTGTTTGTGATTAATTATTTGATTTTTTAGTGCTGATTTTCAAAAAATCCATGAAATCCAAAAAATCCATGAGAAACATATCTGACCTGTGCATTGTACGAAAGTCAAGGGAAAACTTTACTCTTTATCAAGTCGCCGTTCCTCTGGATTTAGTGTAGTTTACTAAAAACAGGATTAAGAGTGTATTTACTTTTCCAAAGTGTTTTGCATTATTTTAAAAGTGTGCTAAATAAAATAAATATCACGTGCATTTAAAAACAGACATTCAAAATTAAATCATTAATTTTAAAATACTTCATATATTTATGTACATATTTACATATTTAGATTTCGCAACCTGTAATGGACGAATTGTGTCGTGTTCGAGAGTTGTATAAGGATACTACATCTTCCTATTTGAGGTTGACGAGCCATCCGAGATCGCGATACGACTCACCACACGTCATGTGTGCGGACGACGATGTGAATTACGTCAGGACTTGAAGTGTGAAAAAATAACAGTTTGTGATTATTTGAGTGAGATTTCTGTACATTTCATATCTTTGATTTCTTGACACACTGCAACATTTTTGTGGGAGGTACGGAGTATGAGACAATTATTTTCACTGCTTGTGCAATAAATTATCCCAACGTTTATTCCAATCGTTCAGACCTGTGTGGTTTGTTGGAGGCTGTTCATAAATTATGCGGAGGAAAGATCGCGATTTTCTAGACCCTGTCGCCCCCCCCACTCTTAAAGACGCATCACAATATTATTGGAGCCTTAGGTTCCGCCCCCTCCCCCTCCCACTGTCACGTTACATAATTTATGAACGGCTCCATACCTACATACATCTTGTTATCGGTTCCATTCATATACATTTGTAGTAAATATTAATTATCATGTATGTACGTAGACAACTTCATTTCAGTGCTTGTGCTATTACAATGCATGAGGATGAATGAATGCGCAACTATTTACACGGTTACGAAGATGCTGATGTGAAAACCGTGCAACATTTCACGAATCCAGAATTTTCATGCTTGAGACAAATACCTACATAGGTTGAGTGAGTTGTGAGGAAATACAATATCCGAGGGGATCTGACATAAAGCACGTGGCCAGATTATGATACCATGGAAAGACCCACCTTTTGCTCGTGCAATGCGGACATTAACATAAGGAAATAAAATCCGTCACATCCATTCCGTACGACCTCAATGGATTTGACGTGCAGCGAGTACAACATGTGTTCTCGTGAAGAATAACAAGTGCACAAATCTTTACTTTCCACGTTTGTAAATTTAATAGTTGGAAGAAATTGGTTGCGAAATTATTTCTCAGCTGCCATGCACCATTACCAAATAAAATTAGCGTACTCAAGTTGAGTAGAGTATTATTTATGTATCCCGGTGTTGGAAAGGTGGCAAAATTTGGCTGAAATTAGATCTCATACGTGATTTACGCATCTGTAAATATTCGTAAAAACCAGATACATTTTCACAGAACGTTTATTTTCACTCGGGTGATGCAGTAGCGGAACTATAGATTCGGGGCCGGTATGTGAGCTGAAATTAGGGGCCTAGGTAAATCTACATAAATGAACTGTTACAAGTGGGAGCCAATTTTTTTGTCAATTCTAGCTACGAAGTTTAATGCTACACTCTAATTCTTCTATTTAATATACATACTCGGACCAGAAGTTCGCGCAAATGCATTTCTGGTGATAATTCACAATGCATTACAGAGTTACAGATCCTATTTGGACAGTGAGAAAAATTGACCAAACTCTTGGACGGATAAGCTTTTTGTACTTCCGCAATTTTGCTCTCAAAACGTAGTGGTTTAGGGTGAATAAGATGTTTGATTAACAAAAATCGGTCAACAAATGCCAAAGAAATCGGCATCCCAAGTTAACCATCTCCTTACGCATTTTTCAGAAGGAAAACTGTCACGAAGGAAATTTGTGGAGAAGTTGAAATTATCCGGATGCAGTGTTGCTCGTTCTTCACCATATCTTGAACTTCATTCCGCTTTAATGAGATCCATATCTAAATTAGCGGGATTGGCTTCCCCAACAAACTTCCAGCTCCCCAAAAAGTTTTCGCGTATCCATTTTCGAAAAATCCACGCCCTTACAAAGCGAAAAAATCTTCTTACCCAAATTGGAAAAGTTGTTAAAATATGTCAGCCGCATGTGAGTTGCTCCAGCGACGACAAACTTGTCAAAAAGGGTCAAAGTTTAGCTTACACGAAATCAAACTTTACAATGAAAATCTAATCGAAAACGATTCAGTATGCAGCTGAGGATGAGTTAAAAGAAATGCTAGGGATTTCAATAATTCCTAATTCCTAGATACCTGCGACCAGTCCTGATGCCACTCCTTTAGATTTTTAATGTGTTTGGACTACTGAAATAAGAGCTTCATTTCAGACGAGCTCTAGTTGCTTTTGGTGTTTCGGAAAAATCTTCAGGATGAGTTGGAGATGATTGCCCTCCAAAATATAGGATAACTAATGAATTCGTGAAAACGGTGATATAGGCTGGCTAACCAAAGGTTAGCCAAACAAATTCATCGATGCCGACTGGAACTTTAAGGTCAATTTTAAAGCCTGTGCAAATACGATCTGTGATCACCAAAGAGCAATTTGTTAGAAACCTTTATGGATGAGCAAGGCACTAATATTGTTCATAAATCATAACTCGTTGTTCATGATTGCGTTCTCCGGCTTGTACGCAAGACTTACGTGTGGCGGAGACTTCTCAATCGCGGCACGTACGGTTTTGATAGAAGAAGCCAACAGTTCTTCAATTGGTATGACCTCAGGCCTTCCACACTGGGAGATTTAGAACAGATGTACTTGTTTCTATAATTTTGATCATCAGTCTTAATTTATAGGATCAAGGTGTCAAGAAGCTGAGGACCGTTCTTTGGATGAAAAAATTCATAAAAATTCGCCCGAAACCAGGTGTTCGCAATTTTCTGTAAGAGCAGAATTTAGTACAAAGGTCTTATGTCGGTTATCGGAGAGTTCGTGGATTTAACGATTGGTCATTTGACGTTGTGAAAATAATTTTTGGCTCCAAATTTTACCCTTTGCGGCAAAAAACAAGCAGAGATTTGCTTTCTCCAGCCAAATCGATCCAATTCACACTATTGTGGTGACTTCATATTAACTTCCACATACTTTAGTTGATTTCAGACAAGTTTGTTAAGCAAAAATCTGCCAATTTTTTCTATTGAATTTCTCTCCAACTGTGAAAAGTCTGGAACACGTTTCTCATGAAAAAACGCGCGTGCCGTGATCGAGCAGTCTCTCACGATTTAAGTCTTGCGTCCAAGCCCGTGCACGAAATCTTGAAAAAAAAGTTATGATTTTTAAACAATATTAATGCCACATTCATCCATAAAAATTTCTAACAAACAGATCTAATTGTTTGCTAATTATCAACAGAAATGCATTTGAGGAACTTATAGTCCGAGTATGTATCATACAGCCTGCATATAAATGATTTTTGTGTAAACTAAAAACAACTTGTAAAAGTGCAAGAAATGGTAACAGATTTAGATTTGCCAGTATATAAATTAATTTAACTAATTATTCCTGTTTTTCCTGTTCTCCTGTTCCTGTTTACTTATTCGTCAATGCAAAAAAATCCAATAATAACTACACACAAGCGTCCGACGGCCGGGGCCGTCTCATCTTGGGGGCCGATATGTGGGACCTCCCCCACCTACCCCTATTTACGCCAGTGGGGTGATGTCAGTTAGATTTGAATTGTTTTAGGTTATGTGATTAAGTTTAGATACATATTTTGTGTTCTCTCGAAGACATAACAGAGTTGTGTTTTCCGGCCGAAATAAAACTGATTGTTCTTAAAAGCTGTGCGTTGTTAGTTGATTTTGTCCAACAAAATTCAGAGGTTATATTTTACTTAAAAATGAATATGGACAAGCCAGAATCTGCCCGATATAAGATAACCGAAGCGTTGGAAATTGATCTGGTGAGTTGTAATTTTTGAAAGTTTCCAGAAATTATTGATTTTTGTGTTCTCATTTACATATGTATGTATGTATGCAGTTATTGGAAAATATTTTTAAGTACTTAAAACTTAAAGATATCGCAATTTGTCGAATAATTAATCGGCACTGGTGCTCCGTCGCGACGCCGTTGATGAAAGAAATGATTTCACAATTTACGCTTAATTTCGGTAAGAAATATTTTCGAAAACTAACGTTTTTCAAGCTAAGCCGATATTTTCTAGCGAGATACATAAAAAAAGCCAAAAATTAAGAATCACATGACGCTTATCGTTCTGTTTAATGTCCCCGTAGAAGAACCATATTGGCGGCAAAATTCAATTTACGGGCTAATTTTCTCCCGCCTTTTCCTCTACGGAGATACCATACCTATCCAAAAACAATTTTCATTCAAAAGTCATTCATCGACATTTCTAACTGAAGATTTTCATTCACATTCAGTTTTAAGCTAGTTTCATTTTATTTCATTAAACTTCATTTCTTACCTCGGCCCATGTATTTGGCATAGGGTAAAAAATGAAATGAGTGAGAAATCATTTAATTCTAAGGCATTCGTGTGAAATGACTGAATCCTTCAATCATTTTCATTCAAATCATAGGAACTTCATTTTCATTCACGATGATCGTTCACCATCATAATCAGTGAAATGAATAAAAGTGAACAGGTATGGGAGAGACAAACAAGGCGGACGGGTAAATTTGCCAAAAATATTTTTCTTCAAAAGGGCCATTCAACCGCAATATATGATGAGTGCCATGTTATTCCTAAATTTGTTGCTTGATTTTTTAAAATCTAACTCGACTCGCTACAAAATCCAGGTGTATCTTGAAAAAAATTTCCATTTAAGGAATAGTTTTCAAAAATAAGTAGTAAACTAATTTATTTTCTTACCAAGCTCAATCCGACATTACTAAATATTGCGACTACGTGTCGACCAGTGGATCTGACTGTGTGAAATATTCAAATTTCAAATTTTACCAACCTCCAATTGAGTCCGAGTTTCTGGAAAAATGTGGCGAACACGTGACATCTTTAACATTTCAGTACATCTACCGAAATTCTCTGGAATCCTTGACACAAATCTTGACACAAACCCCAAACCTGGCCAAGTTCGAAATCGTCCGATTATCCCTGGACTATCGGTCTACACCTACTATTCTCCAAGATAACGTCCCCTGGGATAAGTTGGTTATGCAAATTAGGACGATCTCCATTACCGCGTTCGACACGTCTGAAGAGCTAGGACAAGAGTTTCTTTTAAGACTATTTCGAGCATGTCCCAACCTAAAAGAGGCCATAACGGGGGCAAATAATGCGTCATTTCTTCACCAACTTTTGTTCACAGAGCGGTAATAAAATTTCACACTTTATTTTAGAGGTAAAAATCCTTCGCGAAAATTGTCCTTGTGAAAAATGGTAAATTATCCCAATTTGTATATAGTGCGGCAAATTTGAGTCATTTAAGCCTAGGACACGTGGATGGTCAAATTCTAGAAATTTTATGCACAAACAAAGACCAATTTCACTTGAAGTTTCTTAAAATTGGTCAACTTTTAGCAGTGGAAGGAAAGCTGCTCGAATTTTTACAAGTCCAAGCAAATAGCCTCGAAAGCTTTATCGTTTGTGAACTTTGGAGCGATTTTCCTCACACGAATGGGATCACGTTTCCTGAACGAATGCCAAATTTGAAATTGTTACGGATTGGCTTGAAACGATGGGATGCTCCATACTGGGAAGCCTTAATGGTAAGACAACATTTTATTGGACTATTTTTTTTAACATATATACCTGTTCAAAAAATATTTATTCATTCAAACTTCATTCATTCAAAGCCTTGAAAACAATATTCATTCCTTATAAACTCATTCATAATTTGTTAAAAAATATTCATTAATTAGATATTCAACATTTATTCATACATAATTCACCATTCCTTCAATATTCATTTTATTCAAAATTCACAGCATTGCCCGGGAGAATGTACCCGGCTACGAACATACCCGAACATCAATAAAACCGATTTATTCCTGTTTTCAGGCACCTCTCAATATTCCCAGACAATTGCCAGCCCTGCAAAAACTCTTAATTTCTGGGTGTGGAAAACATCAATTTTTCGACATTCATATTAGAAAATTGGGATCAGGCGGCGCTCTCCGTGTGGGGATTGGAACTTCCGGGGGAGGATTGTTACCACCCGATGTTCAAAAGTTGGGTCGTCTTTTCCCCAATTTGACCGAATTATCGGTCGGATATCAATCTGGTCATGTTTTGCGGGAGATTTGGACTGCTTTTCCGGGCTTGGAGTCATGCACGTTGTCCGTCGGATTGGACAAAATTTGTAACATTGATACTACCGGATTTCTGAAGTTGGACGAAATCCTGACCGGGTTTAGTAAAAAGGAGATGAAACGGGCTAAAAAAATGTGTCGGGACGTGGGGAAACCTCGGTTTGAAAGCATCACTAATTTGAAAAGTAATTAAATTTTGTTACATTGAGAGTATTCAAAATTATGGAAAAACTGTCACCATGCCATGACGATTTCCATTTTCTGCAGTGCCAAAATATTCATTAAGTTCGAGTTTGCATATGCGAAAATTTTTCGAAGTTCGAACTAATTAATCGATTCTGCAGAGATTGCAAGTAATGTTTTGCAATGAATAGTCATACAGTCAAAACAAAACGGTGTCAATATATGACTTAACCGCCTTGGTTACAATTGTGATTCCGGGTAGTAATGAATTTTTTCCGTCCGGTCATAACATTATAACTACAGGTATCAAAATCATCATAACTCGGATTCAACATTGTAACCAAGGCGGTTAAGTCATATATTGACACCGGCGGTGTTGATTTGACAAATTTTTATTTTGAGTGTACATAAGCTCGATTCGGGCTAAATGCACAAAGCATTTTTTTTAGTTTTAAAATTATTACATATGTCCATATGTATGCAAACTCGTCACAAATTGTCTTATTATGAAATTTGAGTCTGTCAGAATTATAAGGTATTGAATGACATTTATTTATTTAGACTTACGGGAATTGACCCTGCATTACGGTCCGTTTAGGAATCGACCACCAGGAAGGCGACTTAGCGACGATTGTGTAACCGACATTGGAGCATTTTACGCCTTGCAAAAATTGGAGTCGTTAAAATATCTGGCGATCCGGGGTCACAATGTATGCAAATATTTACAAAATTGAAATAGGGTTATATCTTTGCAAATTAATTGCACTCTGAATTCTTATAAAGTAAACTATACTTACAATGCACATGTCAGACATGTTTTGTCACGGATCTCCTTAAAACCAGCACTAATGTCAAGCAACTTAAATGCTTCAAGTTGTGAAAATGTGCATTTTCACCCTGGGAAAGCGTAGAGATGAACGTCACACATTTTCGCCGTGGTGAAAACGTGCATTTTTGCAAACTTCTCCGTAAATTTCGCAGAATTCCTCAAGTCCCGCACTAATTAATTGTTATATTTAGCTTCTTGATCTTTTAATCATGATTTTAAGAAGATCCGTGAGATACATGTCTGAAATGCGCATTGTCTGTAATTCCAGCGAAAATTTACTCGTTATCAAGTTAACTCTGGATTTAATCGAGTTTACTTGTAATATAATTTATTGTATTTAACCCTTCAAAAACTTATTGTATTTAACCCTTGTGTTCCATTTTTTTAAAGAAAATATATCGTAAATTAAAAAAAATCAAATTTCCTCATGGAAAGTAAATACAGTCAACAATTTTAAAATCTTTCTAGATATCGCAACGCGTAGTGGACGAATTGTGTCGTGTTCGAGAGTTACATCAGGATACTTCTTGTTCCCATTTGAGGTTGACGAGCCATCCAAGATCACGATATGACTCACCACACCCCATGTGTACGGAGGACGATGTGAATTATGTCAGGACTTGAACATGGTTTGGTGTGTGAAAATCACACCTTGTGAATTCTACACGCTGTGATTTCTTGAACAATTGAAATTGCGATACGAATTAGACAGTACAAAATTGTAAGCTATGTATGATGAAATAAATTTACTCTTTCTTCATTCCATTCCAAAATTAACAGATCCACTTTAAATAAAAATAAATAAAATTTACTTAAGGTTGAGTAAAAAAAAATAATGTAAAAATATTGCCATAAAAAACGTAAAATTCACTAAAAAATATATCCTTTCATTCACAGTCACTCATCTGAAACGATCGAATCTTTCACTCATTTTCATGCAAGTCAGATTAAATTCATTTTTATTCACTATCATAATCAGTCACATGAATGAAAGTGAACAGGGACATGTCTTTGATGCACGAATTTCATGAAAGCGTTCAACATATGCGAAGCCGACATGCGAGAATTTTCATGCACGAAGAACAAAGAGTCGAAGCTGTAAGGGAGTAACATAAGGGGACCGTGCATAAAGCATGTGAATATGTATGTACACGAGACTGACGTATTTTCATGTCCAAATTAACAGGGGTGGGCAAGATAGTTTGGTCGTAAGATACAAGATACAAGATAAGATACTTTCTAGGATAAGATATAAGATACAAGATAAAAGATACATTTTGTTCAAGTACACAAGATACAAGATACAAGATACTTTCCTAAAGATTGAGTAGTCAAGATACAAGATACAAGATATGTATCTTAAGATACTTTTATACTAGATAAGATACTTTCTTTTTCTAGCTTGGTATTCATGCCCAATTGGTCATGTTTAATAATTTAAACGAAAAAATCTAGTGAGTACAAAATTTAAAATCATTCTATAATCATCTTACAAATTTTGTAGACAGTGCTTATACTTCGAAAAATTTCGAAAAACTAGAACTCTACCTAACATACATATTTTGAAGAAGTTGGTATTATTTTTACAATATTCCCTGCTTATCTAAACCCTATAAGATATATACACTAGTTCAGCGTAGGTACATATCATGTAATGTGCATGCATGTGTACAAATGTACTAGTACACATGAACATATATACATATACATATATATATGAATATATGTACATATGTATGTAGAAGTTTTTTACAAATTGGCAAAACATAAACTAAAAATTCACCAAATTCTGGTTACGACAAATTCATGGTCAAATTGACTGCCAGTAGTACGAAATTGACTTTGACTTAAGAATTTTACGGAATTTTTAGAAAAAGTATCTTGTATCTTAACAAAACTATCTTAAGATACTTTTCTGCCAGGCATATCTAGATAAGATACTTACACAAGATACTATCCGACTTTCTAAAAGATAGAAGATACAAGATACAAGATACTTCTCTGATCAGGCGACCAAGATACAAGATAAAGATACTATCTTGTATCTTGTATCTTTTATCTTGTATCTTGACCAAGTATCTTGCCCACCCTTGCAAATTAATAATTAACAAATCATTACTAGGATAAAAGGAATCTTTCAATCAACTGAGTTAAGTCGATGACATGCATTCTGCACGACCCCGAATGATTTAACAGCTCGAGTCACGGCGAGTGCAATAAAACATCAACATGTGTTCTGGTGAAAAATATGAAAAGCAGAAATAATTATTTGTTTAAAAGTTGGGATAAATTGAATTCAGAAGCTGATCAAAAGCATACTGATTAACTAATCGCATTACAAAGGTTAGTAAATACGCATAAGTTAAAAATAATATTATTTATTTGCTATTGTCTACAGATTGTAATTTCCTAATAGTAAATTACTATGGGGAATTGGGGAATACGGTTTACGAAATATGAAATACCTAAGTAGATACTCATACTTATAAAGCTTTTTTAAAATTAGAATCTTAATTAAGGTGCCAGAATAAGAATTTCGCTGAGAAATTGTCGCGTCGATTGGAAAATTTTCCTATCCAAGGGACATAACCAAATGTGGTAAAATTAAACAGGAATTTGTAAATTTCAATTTTAATTAACAGAGGTCAAATGATTTTTATCAAATGTAGTTAAATCATTTGATCAGGTTTTAAAAAATCTTGGGTAGTTTATTTGCAAGGTTTGCTCCATAGAAATATTTCTTAATGGACAGAATGATAAGAGATCGCAAACCGGAATTTTTCCAAGTTCCCAATATTCAGCAGTCTTTTTGCAACTAAAAAAGTTTTTCAACTTGCCCCAAAAGAAACTCAGGGTGCCCCACAAAAGTTTTTCAACTTGCCCCAAAAGTGTCTCAAGCTGCCCAAAAATTTCGGTTCATACCAAATTAGAAATGTAGACGAAATTCTTATTCTGTATTCTTCAAAATAGGAAAGAACTCATACTGCCATGGAAACCAGAACCGTGGAACAAGTCGCATTGGACAATCCCATTGTATGTAAACCTAATTTAATAATCCCTAAATACATAAATGAAAATACGAATTTTTAGTCATCTTCCCAACCTATTTCTTTGTAGATTTTGACGCAAATTTTAAAACAGACCTCCGCCCCACTAAAAACTGCTCGTTTAGTCTCCACTTTCTGGAACGATCTCGTCCTCTCCCTTCCAAACAGCAAACTCTCATTAAAACTGGGTCACGATAATCTAATCTCAAACACGGAAGAGGATCTAATTCTATTTTTCGAGCTATGTTTCGCCCTCGACGCCCGACTTGCGAAACACATTTCCGCAACAAGTATTCGCGGTCGGACGCCGCTTTACTCTTTCGCCACGAAACTGATGCACACCTGCGACAAATTTAGCGACACGGTGCAAATTTTGGACGTTTCCATTGCCCATGAAGCCTGTCTCTCGCCGGTTTATCAAGTTTTGAAAAACTGCTGCCCGAATTTGAAACAAGTCCGGATTTCTTGCACATTTCTGCCCGTTTCAAATTCCGGTTCGGATGATCATGCCGTAAGTCGGGATTTGGTTGTGGGGAAAAAAGCAAATTTGACCGGGTTCGCGTTCACCTCGACACGGGTGACGCCGCGGGTGCCCAAATTAATTGAGGCGGTGGTCGCCGCCGCGCCAAATTTAAGGTAAGACTCATCGCCAAAATTAGCACATTTCTTAACTCTGGAAATTTATTTTTTAATTCTGCAGTACAAATTTGTAGTACGTAGATTAATAGAATGGCGATGAAATTTTTTGGCCGGTTTTAATGGGTTCTAATTTTTTTGGAGGGTTTTTAACAAACTTTTGATCTCTTAGTTCAAAAACTAGAAAACCTTGGAGTCGAGTGCATATTTTTTTAATGAAAAACTGAAAAAAAGTGTAAACTTATGCACTCCAGACTCAGACAGTTTTTCAAAGAGGAGATCTAAAGTTTAAAAAATGCTTCAAATAATTGGAACTTATGAAAACTGGTTAAAAAAACTCACCGTTATCAAATTACTGACTCGACAAATGCGTGTCCCAGAATTTTAAAATAAATTTCCAGACCTGGGAAATTATGAAAATTGTTTAGATTTTGCCAGTCTTGGAATCCTAAATTCTTTCAGAGAAGCCATCCTTCCCTGGGGAATCTATCCGGATTTCGCAAACTCCAAGTTTCTCACCTCTCTCAAGATCTCGCTAGATGGCGTTCAACCAAATCGCCCCGGCCTCGTTGACCGTAACCTTGCCGAACTGACCCGGATGCTGACCCAGGTTTCCGACCGACTTGAAAAGTTATCCTTTCGCCTAAAGTTTTTCGAGTTTAAATATTTGCGAAAAATGTTTCGAACCGGATTCCGCTTTCCGAGAAGGATGCCGAAACTACGCAAATTTCGCAACGAATTAGGCGACGTTTTAGTGAGTGCCGATTTCTTGCGGGATCTTGAAGCGATGCCGGTTTTACAAACGCTCGTGATCTCGGACAGATTGAGGAGGTCGAAAAGTTTGCGTGAAATTTTGCAAAATGTTTGCGACGCGGAAAATAATTTTTTTGCAAATGTAACGAAATTAGTGCTGATGGAGGTACACGATCCCAGACTTGTTGGCGGATTGAAGACAGCATTTCCGAACTTGGAGAGCTTAAAGGTAGACACGTATGACGAGATGGATTCTGACGGGCGAATGAGCAAGATGGGGTTGGGCGTCGTTCTTAGCGCGTGTGTGGGTTGGGAGAGGTTAAAATGCTTGAATTTAGCGCTGCCCATGTATCCAGGAAGGATTGGGGATGTTATTGAGGCTCTAATGGATAGCAGAGAATTGTATACGCGTGAGTGCCAATTTATTTTAAGGAAATGTCGATGATTCTGGTAAAAAATTAACACATTTTTAGTAATTTTTCGGCTCTGGGAATTTATTTAAAAATTCTGAAAGTCAAATTTTGTATGGCAAGTTCCGTACAATTTTTATTAAACACTTCAGATATTGGAAAGAGAAGATTTCTAGTTTATGACGCCCTCAGAAAATTGGTTGTAAATAATTTTGCAATAAATTCGCAAAGTGGAGAAATTTTTTAAGATGTGCTGATTTTGGAGATGAGTAACCCAGTGCTATGTTAATTTAGCTCCTCCATATGTTCGCATACATTTGCGTAATGTCAAATTACGCAAATTTTATTTGGCATAATCCATCATAATTTCTCCCTTGGTTTAAAATTAAATTTAAAAAAATCTTAATTCATTCTGGATAAATTTCAGATCTTAAGACGGTCCTAATTAGGACGTACAGTGAGAGCCACGTGCTCCACCACGTGGCAGAGGACGATATGGATCGGTTCATTGAACTACTTATCGCAATGAATGGAATGGAGGAGATTGTAATTTCAGAACTTTATGTGAGTTAAATAAATAGTTAACTAAATTTACTAAGTTAAAATTATCTGACAATTAGTGGAGGTATCACACCTACTTATTAACGTCGATTTTAACAAATCAGTGTGAACTGATCAATTTTTCTATTAATATGAAATTTGCAAATAGCACTCCGCAAATTTGGCAGAGCCATTTGTATCCAAAGAGGAGAAAACATGCATGAAGGTTTGAAAGTTTCAACTTCGAAGCACGTGTTCCTCTCTTTGGACGCAAATACATATCTTCACCAAACCTGAGCATCGGAAATTAGTGTCATATCCAAATTTTATGCTAATTAAATTTGTGATCGATTTACAATAATTTGGTAAAAATCGGTCAGCATACGCTGCAAAACCACCATTCTCTGTAAAATAATTCTAAGTCTGACTGAATTTGTTATTATTTGCTTACAGTTTTCTAACAAATCAGCCGAGAACTTAGACGCTTTCATGGTGTCGAATAACATGTTGAGGTCAAAATTCAGGATGATAAATACAGACTTTCCGTACGAAGCGGACCAAGATAACTGTGATGAAGACTTCAGTTCTAGGAATATGAGGAGTAATAATCCCACTAATGTTAATGTAATTACGTAATTCGTTAAATACAAATATTTGCTGCTCGTTTATCCAAATATGTACATATAAATTATTACTTATTATCGGATTATATCAATCTGATTTTAATCTTTACGATCATTAATCGTAAACTGTCAATCAACATGCTTAATTTGTAATGCTTCGATCAGAATTGCGTAAAAAAATTATGTTCTTACATTATGTTACTTTGAACCTGGTGAACCAAAGTTCTACGGTATTACCATGTATAAAGTCATAATAAATTGAAAAAAATAAGTATGAAAGTAAGTATGTACATACATAAGTATGATGCAATACCAAAATTTAGGTATGGGTTAGCCTCACCGGCTAGAGGATTAAATGTATGTATTTATATATTATATAGTGTTTCATAAGACAAATAAAACGGATAATTATGTTCAAATATTTATTTCTAACTTTGTCTTTATAAAACAAGAATGGAACTTGAATAAACAAACTAGCGAGATAAATGAGTTGGTACGTGCATACGTACGTATGTACGTGCGAAGTGCATATGTAATTGATTATTGTATAATTATGTTTTTAGAGTCTGGTTATTTATTGCGAAAAAATCGCGGAAATAGTTATATATTAAATTGAGGAATCATGAGTTGTATTTATTTACTTAATGCAATACAATTTATTAACGCGTGTGCATGTACATACATATGTATCTGCTGCATAAATATGGAAATATTGAAACTATTTACACCCTAAGGAAAAACGTAAAATTTATTCTCGGTTCAATAAAGTAGAGCGTCGTTCACCGCTTTATTGGCCAGCCGTAGCATTCTGCAGATTTCTGAAAATGAATAACCGATCTCTACTGACTATCGATTAGCAACAGAGGGACTGAGACTTAAATAAATGTTTGGTACAGTGGAAAACTGTACTAGAAACATATTCAGTGGACTATTTTACTAGCATGGAAAATAATGGGTAATCCTCCTGTTTTAACGTTATCCTATTTTTTCTTGCTTCCCTCTTTCAGTCAGGTTGACTTATTTTTTGAAAATTGTATGGTTCACGTTACATCAAATAATCGAATTGATTTAAATTACAATTTCTTCGAGGATTCGTCAAGCCCTCGGATTTGGTCGTCACTGGAAATAAATTATTCGGATTTAGTACTAAAAAGTGGGTGGAGGCCGCGTGGTCATGGTGATCCTTGCGCGGTGCTTGTCATTCTGGCTGGTCGGCAGGAGGAAGGCTTAAATATGGCGGGTATTATCGACTTTATGAGGCGGTCAGGTTTTGAACAAAATGAGGAGTTCGTGTTCGTCATACTTGTGGAGGAAAGGAATTATTTGAAATTTGTGACGTCTTGGAGGAAACACGTGATCAAGGAGGAGTTTTATGCAAATGTTTTGATTGCGGAGAGAAATTATGGGGCGAAAAGAAGGGATGAAATTAAGGTAAGGATTTTGTCGTAGTAGAAACTAAAGGGTGACAAATAAGTAAATTGAGCGAAATTTGCTGGGGCGAATTTTGAAGGGTGCACTAGTTCAGCGGACTAATTAAATCTGTTCAGGCATCGACAACCCTAATAGTTTCGATGAATTACGGATTAAGTCATTAAAAACTTTCTTGTAATCATAGGATTGAAATTACTTTGCTTAATTAGATGAAACGGATTTAATCTAGGATTAATTCATTGTGGATTATTTTTTTAAAGTTATTTTAAAATTTCTTATGAGATTACTAGATTACGAGGCACAGTTATTCAGATTAACTAATCTGATTAAAGTAATCCTGGCGTTGACAATCCCTGAATGAGTTAGGTTGATATATACTTAACGCGTACCAACTTTCCAATTTTGGTGATGCTTACTTTCAATATGCTTTATCCTTTCTAGTCTTCGACCTTTAAACATAAAATTAGTCCACAAATCAAGTAACGAATTTTATTTCCCGTCAACAGTCCTGGATGCCCTGGTGCAACACAAGCCCTACAAAACAATCCACCTTGGCGGGACAAAGTATCCAAAACTTGAGGCAAATTAAATCCATCTTCAAAAATCTAGCGCGCTCAGTAAATCACACCTTCGCTAGCATCTTCCCACTCCTGGGTTTCAGCAGATTGGACGCCTTTCGGCGAAAGGATGCCGACACTAGGAGCTGGTGGAGACGCGGGAAAATGAGCCCAATCGATGAAATGATCCTCGCCTGGATGGCGAACCGATACAATTTTATAATTCCTTCAAAATCTCAACATCCCCGCGCCACTATATGTTTCCGAGATTGCGAGTTGCCCCGAAACAGTGGGAAGTCTCCGAAAGTCGTGCTACTCCAGGTCAACCGGGTGTCCGTGATTTATTGTGTGCTCGTCAATCAAGTCACGCTGGACGAGGTGGACTGGTTTTTTCCCCTGAAAACGTTCGGATCTCAAGTTTGGGCTGCGATCTGTCTGGTCGTGGGGGCAATTGCGATTTCACATAGGAATTTGGGGGCAGGATTGTATGTGATTTGGTCCTTTTTGGGACAACACGGGAAGGTATGCAGAATTTTGAAATAATTTGCACCCGTAAGAATTATGCAACTTTTGAATTTTCCTCGAATTCAGTTGATCATTTTCAAAAGACTGTTTTTGGAAAGTTTCGTTCACGTGTAACAATCTTGTAGGATGTTGCAGAATTATGCATAAATGGTCTTTCGCAACCGTACCGTGTCTGTATAACATCTCTGTCTGATCATTACTGCATAACCGTTTGTGCATAATTATGCAAAATTCTGCGCAGTAATATCGTTCTGCATAACCATTTTTCTGCCGAGAGTCAGTTCAATTTTCTGCAAGAAAGCTACATACAAACGGTCGATTTTAGACCTTGCCCCAATTATGCGTAACTATGCATAGTTTACTCTGCATACATTTTTTCGGCACAACCATCAGAAAATTTTCGGCACGAAAACAGCCTTTTATGCCGAAAATATTGTACTTTTAGACTTGGTCGTCCACCTCGATCTGCTTTTTCGCGCTGCCCGTTGTAATCTTGCAAACGTGGTATTTGTGCTGTTTCACGTCCCATACGATTCTTCCCCTGCTCCCCACCAGGATTCAAACTGTTCGGGAAATGTTTTCTGCCGGGTATCGAATCGTCAATCCAGAGTGGACCATTGTCCTAGGAAACGTAACTCTAATGACACATCTGGGAAGTAGTGACGTTCGCAGGATGCCACAGCTGACCAAGAATGAAACCGTTGAATGTAAAGCGATGGGAATCTCGTGTCTTGCAAACATGGCGGGATGGGCGAGTCGATTGGTATATGCGGATTATGCGGATGCCTATATTGCCGATATTATTAAGGTTGGGATACTATTGTTTGCAGTAAATTTTACGTAAGGTTTATGCAATTTGATCCATTTTCGCATGCACGTATAAAAAGATGTAAATCGGTAAAAAGTTTTAGATTTGGGGAGGAAATTTTTTTTGACAGTATTTTACATTTTCAGAAAAGCAGGCAAACAATAATTTAAAATACAGGTGTCGTATTGACAAATTTATGAAGTTACAAACCTACGTGAATTTTTTTAAAAATTAGTAAAATAAGAAATTCTTAAGTTTTGTTCAAAATAAGAATTGAATTTCATTCCATGTTGAACCCTAATTTTTTACTGATATGTATGTAAAATGAGTCTTGTGCAAAGTAGCTTTATGCAGTGGACATTATGTAAAGTGTCCGAAGGCCTATATTTAACTGTAAATACTTTTAGTTTTTAACCTTTTGCTAGAAGTTAAGAAGGTTTGGCTCTATTTTTTAAACGACATGATAGCAAATTATTCGAATTTGGCCTGGTTTAAATTCTAAATTTTAATATGTTCATGTACCACTTCTTTTTTTCTCAGGTTGTCCCTGGAGTATCGTGTTACGCAGTTAGAGAGCCATGGACCACGGTACGGAATATTTTTACGATTGAAGGTCACCATTCTGGACCCATCTACCGTGACATTTTAAGAATTCAGACAGTGGGAATTATGACCTTGTGGGACATGAATTACCGTTCTGCCGTGCTGCTGAAGGCTCGAAGGATGTTGGCGATTAGACTGGCAATACAACTCGGGTGGCACAGGATCTCGCTGAGTAGTCAAATTTTAGTGATATTTACCCTATTCGCGGTTGCCTTAGGGGTCGGGGTGGTCCTCTTTGTGTTGGAATACTTGTGGTATAGATCAACGAGTCGGATAAAATACACTTTAAGAAATCATGTTCATGTATTACAATAGTACCAAGAGGTAATGATATTCCCAAAATGGTAGTGATAAGAAATGCTGTCTAGTAATAGATTTGTATTTAGTTTTACCATATCAGTTTTAAATTTTAATACCAAGCGGTAGAAACCTTAATAAAGAAAGATTAAGCTATAAATTGAAATCTTTCGAGTTTTGACTGTATTATATCAAATTAGTTAATGATTGTCTTAGTTCTTAATGTTTATAAGTAAGACTAACATTTTATGTACATAATCGATTTTTACTACCCCCTGCCCTCTAAATTAAGTTATAAATAATTGACGCACAAAGTAAACCACGATACTTTCACTTGTGAAAGTATTGTGTATTGTTAATTTGATTGTAATCAGATTAACATTTAATAAGAACAGTTAACATTTAACATTTAATAAGAACAAAACTTAACTAACTTCCGCTGCAAATATTGCAAATTAGTTCTATCGCGTAGAACAATGTACAAGTCGTGATTAAAATGGAATATAGATAAAATACAACTAAAAAATTTCCTTATATCTTCAAACTCTTTGGATCATCATTATTTTTAATAACTGAACGATTCAACCCATTGAACTTAATCCTTCTTAAAAATCTTAAATATTTTGTCCAGAAATTTATCATCCCTGCCTGAATTAAATATTGTGATCTCACCTCCAATTTAGCATCCAAACTATAAGATACCAACCATCCGAGTTCTTCCTTAAATAATTCATCCTTCCCTTTAGCAATATTGGATTTTGGTCTCAAAAATTTCAACTTGGCTTCATATTCATTAATATCACTTCCATAAACCACCATGGCTGATTTATTGCAGGACACAATCCCATCCAGAAGGGTATATTGTGCTCTCGCTTCACAACGAATAGTCTGGATTATAGATGTTGTTCAAGGGCTAAAATCTTCTCGGAGCTATAATCTGTTTTATACTATTTTAGCCTCATTCCGAACTCGTGAAATGAATTGGCCAGTCGTGAATACGAATTTTGACTTTCCATGAACATGTGTCGTATGGGGTGATAATACTTGAGCACGGGAACAAATAAGGTGAATTTGTGGTCTATTAACTCCTTAAAGTTAGATATGAATGTACCCTTTAATGGTGAAGTTAACTCTGTTACATTACTCCCTCTGTATCCATTACTAAGAACGACAAACATTAAAAGCCATGGCGCCAAGATG